CCAGGGGCAAGGCGGTGGGATACACTCCATGGGGTAGAGCCCGGGGAGGGGGGTGAGGCACTGTCAGCATCAGTGCTGGAATGGAGCAGGGTGGCAAGGGCTGAGTGTCTGCAGGACCCTCCTCTACCCCCCATTCACCCAGAGCTTAAGAGCAGCATCCAAGAGGGTCCCCAAATCAGACCCCAAGAACCCACTGCCCCCACACACACTGCGACCTTGCCTGCCCACAGCTCCCCCTATGAGCAGGGATTGTGCCTGTCCTGAGCCCATGGGACCGCATCCCAGCACCCTCCTGGGGTGACGGGGACCATAGAGGGGTGGGAGGGGAGGGTTGGGGCTGCCTTGGCTTCATCAGCACCATTGACACCCCCACCCTGTGCCTCTCCCCTGCCAGGCAGCGAGAAGGGATGCAAAGGTGGGTACCAGGTGATGCCCGCGCCCTGCCGGGGCCTCCCCAAAGGCCCGGGGGAGCTGGGGTACGCAATGGGAGCCCCCCTGGGCGGCCTGCACCGGGTCCCCGAGCTCCCTGAGCCCCTGGGCAAGAGCAAGAAGCGCAGGAACCGGACGACCTTCAGCACGTTCCAGCTGGAGGAGCTGGAGAAGGTTTTCCAGAGGACGCATTATCCCGATGTCTACGCCCGGGAGCAGCTGGCGCTGCAGACGGACCTGACCGAAGCCAGGGTGCAGGTACCGGCCCCATTGGCTCTCATTGGGATGGGTGTGGATGTTTTCCCTGCTGGAAGGTGGCTTTCCCAGGAGGATGATGTTAAATCCCAGCCCGATGATGCTAAATCCAAGCCCAGGCGCTGGCTTCACCCCAGCTCCCTCCACTTCTCCCCATGCCCCCTCTCTGCAGCACCTGAGGGGTGGGAATCTGGGACCTCCCCCCCCCTCCATCCCCTAATGTGATCCCACCCTGTGCATCCCTCAATCCCAGACCCCTTTCCCACCTCAACCCCCAGTTCAGCTCCCTCCAGCGCAGGGATGGAGCCGCTCAGCACGTCCCGGGATGCGGGGCAGGATGAGGACCTCCCTCACCACCCCGGCACCAAACCAGTGAGCTCCTAACAGAGGCATCTCCCTGTGGTTTGAGGCTCCCAGTGGGAAGAGGCGGCTGGAAGGGGCACCCGGCAGGGAGGAAAGGGAAGGCAGGCGGGACATGAAGTGAGCAGGGAGCACCCATTGGGTGCTGGGTGCTGCCCTCCCCATGAGGCAGGAGCTGGGGACAAGACACTTACCACAGCCTCTGAGCCCTGGTTTGGGGTGGATTTAGATGCAATTACCTGTAACCATGAGAGTGCTGGGACAAGCATCCCGGTCCCGCATCCCAGCCTGCATCCCAGTCCATCCTGCATACCAGTCCTGCATCCCAGCCTGCATCATAGTCCATCCTGCATCCCGATCCTGCATCCCGATCCTGCATCCCGATCCTGCATCCCAGCCCTGCATCCCGGTCCTGCATCCCGATCCTGCATCCCAGCCCTGCATCCTGGTCCTGCATCCCAGCCCTGCATTCCAGCCTGCATCCCAGTGCTGCATCCCAATCCTGCATCCTGGTCCTGCATCCCAGCCCTGCATTCCAGCCCTGCATTCCAGCCTGCATCCCAGTGCTGCATCCCAATCCTGCATCCTGGTCCTGCATCCCAGCTTGCAACCCAGCCTGCATCCAAGTGCTGCATCCCAGTGCTGTATCCCAGTCCTGCATCCCAGTGCTGTATCCCAGTCCTGCATCCCAGCCTGCATCCCAGTCCTGCGTCCCAGCCCTGCATCCCAGCCCTGCATCCCAGCCTGCACCCAGCACCGGTTCCCAGCCCCATCCAGCAGCACAAGGGGGACACGCAGGTGGGTCACAGTGACCACACAGGACCCCAAGAGCCTCATTCTGCATCAAAACCTGGGGTAAAGAGGGCCCAGGAGGACAAAAAGAGAAGCAGCATCCATGGAGCAGGAGCACTTGTTTTCCAAGAGGGATAAAAGGTATTATCCACATATTATATGGATATAGGTGTATCTCATATGGCCACATACGTATAGCCATACATATACAGCTATGTATTATATGGCTGGTGAGCTCAAGCAGGGCTGTGCACATGGGCAGCTTCCCCCCTTCACCTCCAGTGTACCGGGATGCTGGGATACGGCATTAGGGCTCTTTTCCAGCCGGGAAGATGAGCATGGAGCAGGGCAGGGGCTGCACCCCCAAAGGTGCCTCAGCTCAGCCCCCCCCCCTCCATCCCCAGGTCTGGTTCCAGAACCGAAGAGCCAAGTGGCGCAAAAGGGAACGTTATGGGAAAATCCAGGAGGTGAGAGCTGTTCGGGCAGGGATCCCTGTGGGATGAACCCCAACACCGGGTTTGCCCCTTCTCTGCACGTGGTTCCATCCATCCTTGGGAAAAACACACGGGCCCGGGTGGAAAAGGAGGGGAATAAAAGCAGCATCACATTGTGCCCATCAGGACAATGCTGCTTTACATCCCCCTGCGTTTCCCGTGGGAACACACCCTTTGGGGCAGCTTTTGGGGTGTCGTCCCCCCCCCAAACCCCACATCCACCCAGCAACGCTTCCTGCCCTTTTCCTGCTAAACTCCCCTGTTTTCCCCTCCTTCCAACACTGAAAAGCATCAAAATCCTTTAAATCTCTGCTCCACGCACTTCTCCGATGCCCAAATCCCTGCCTGGGGAAGGGAGGGAAGATTCCAACCGGGATTCAACCCCCCTGGGGCAATTAGAGCAAAGCAAAGGCAGCCCTCGATGAAGGGGATCCAATGGGATCCGATGGGGGGGGGAAATGGGGTTCCCCCCCCCCCAAATCTCACTTGGGGCTTTCCTCTCTTGGTCTCTTTCAGCTCCAGACCAGTCTCTGGCCCAGCTCCGGTCCCAGGAACCCCGCGGGGCTCCTGCCCCCTGAGAGCATCCCGGCCCCCGGCCTGTCCCCGTATCCCCACGGCAACATCAGCGGCTTCATGGGCATTCCTGCCTCTCCCGGCCCCCATCCCGGCCCCAACAGCCTCTACCCCCTGCACGGCCTCCCCCCCCCGGCCCTGGGCACCCACCCCTTCGAGCCCGCACCCCAACACCACTACAAGTCCCCTGCATTGGTGCCGCTGAGGGTGAGGAGCAAAGAGGCCACCAGCAGCCTCTTGAACTGGGCTACATGATCCCATGGGATCCATGGACCATCTGCCCCCCCCCCCCCCCAGCACCAGGGTTTGGGAGCAGGTTGCTGGGGTCACCCTTACCCCCCCCTTGTGCATCCAGATCTCCATGAGCTTTCCTGCATCCCAGCCCGCTGTTGGATACCCCTGGGTGATGATGGGGGATGAAGGTCACCCCCAAACCCCATCTGCCCCAGTAGGGCTGGAACTGGAGCTTGGGACCCTAAAAGTGGCTCCCAAGAACCCTGACCCCCCCCCCCCCCCCAGCACCTTCAGACCACAGGAGCTGATGGAGATACTGGTGGGTTGCAGCTGGGGCCCCCCTGACCAAGCCGGGGGGGGGGGGGGACACACCAGGTTGGTTTGGGCTTAGCACCCCATTCCCCAGCCCATGTGGCCACTGCATCCTTCCCAGTACAACCAGCACTGGCATAAACTGGGCTCTTCATGTCCCGGTCCAACCATAGTGGGAAGACCCCCACCCAAGATGCTGGTGCTCGGGGGGGGTACTGGGGCAATTGTGTTCACTGAGTCCTCAAAGCCCCCCCCTCCAAGCTATCGGCTGCCCTTTATGCTCCCCTTTGGAATGGGGATCAACTCTGGGACAAGGGACAACCCCCCCCCTCCCATGGGAGATAAACCAGGATGGGGTGGGATGAAGACACCTGAGCTGAAGCCCTGGGGGGGGGGGGTACCCACAGCCTGTGACACCCAAACCAATGAGGTGAGGAGGTGCACATGGGACCCCCACCCTGGTACCACCCCGGGGGCCCCAACACGGGTGTCGGGGCACCACAGACCCCCCCCTGGGGAGGCACCAAACCTGCCAGGGCAGCCCCATTTGGGTCAAAAGGGGAGCCAAAGGGACCCTAAATGCTTCAAGACACAGCACAGGCACAGGGGGTGCCCCCCCAGGAGGCAACCCACAGCCCTGCTGTGCACCCAGTGGGTGCCCCCCCAGCCTGGGGCACCCCGTGCTCTGGCTCCCTCCCTCTGGAGAGGGTTTTCTTATCCATTAGAAACAATAAAGCACAGGTTCAAGAAGTTCCTTCTGGCTCCGGCTGTGCTGCAACAGCCGCGGGCTGGGAATGGTTTGGAGCGAGGTGGGATGCTCACACCTCATCCACAGCATCCCGGGCTGGTCCCCCCACACCAGGACCAGGTTCTGAGCGCTGGGGGGCACCCACATGGAAGGAATCCTTCCAGTGTGGCTTCTCTGATGCCTATGAAGGGCTCAGTTTGTTGCCTCCTGCCTTCAGAGCCCATGGGAGCGTGGCCAGGATGAGGGCTGAGCATCCCCCAGGCTGGGCTCACTCCTGGAGAACCACAGGGGATAAATCAGGGCTGCTCCAGCCTCCCCCTGCCTGCAAACACCATCCCAGCTGGGCAGGGAAGCAAACAGCTTCCTCCTGCCTCTCCCCATGCCAACCGGGGGGGGGGATACCCCTGGCTTTCACCCACTGCAGTTGCTGTTCCTCTGCCAGGGAAACTGAGGCACTGCAAGTAAGGGTGAGCTACGGCAAGGCCAAGCCTTGGGGATGGGAGGGGTGGATGCTCAGCTCCGTGAGGTGCAGAAGCCAAGGAAAAGCAGAGTGACACCAGCAGCACAGCGGGGGCAGGAACCCCAGGACAGAACTGGGAACGTTCAGGGAAGGGGATCAACAAATCCCTGTGGGAGCAGCTCCCGCCTGCACCCCCCCCCCCGAGGCCACCAGTTCCCATTGCAAGATAGAAAAGCAACCTCCAGGGACAAATCATCCCCCGGCAGCGGGACACGAGGAGGGAGCAGGGACAAGGACAGAACCATCGCTGGATCCACCCGGACAGACAGAGCCCACGCTCGGACAGCATCAGGACCAGATGTATGCGTACAGCTCACCCGCGCCCCCCAGCGGGGCGAGGGGACACTGCAGTCTCCACCGCCTCCCTGCACCCCGAAGCCCGGCAGGGCCCCCCCGTTCTCCTGCCACACCAGCCTCTGCTCCCCGCGGCCCCCCAGCAGCACCGAAGGGACCCTCACCCCGCTGCCTGCTCCCCCTTCTTGACCCCGGCTGGTGGGGGGCAGGAGGAGGGTGCTGGTGGTGCTGCCTCTTGGGGTGCACACAGGTGTCGTCCCCCCCCCAACACCCCATAGGGAACTACCTCCACCAAACCTTCACGCTCGGCTCAGGGTTGAGCCTGGCATAGCATGGAAGGAGGCAGAGGGGCGGGATGGTGTCTTGGTGAGGACTCCACAGCTCCAGCCTCTTCCCAAGCCCACCACTGGGGGGGGGGGGGGTCCAGGCACCCACAGACCCCCTCTCCAAAGCTTCAATCCTCCTGCCCCTCAGCAGCAGCCTTGAGCTCTCCCCAAAGCAACCCCCTCCGGCCTGGCCGGTGTCCATCACTGCAGCAGCTCCTCCCAGGAGATGGGGCGGGAGAAGACCTCCCTCTCCAGCCACAGGTCGTAGTTGACCTGGAAGTCCTCGGGCAGGTCCACGCGCTGGCCCAGCACGCTCTGCAGGCAGTTGTCCACAGGCAGGAAATCAGGGTTGCTGTGGGCCCGGTCGTAGCGGCGCGAGTTGAAGCGCTCGATGCTGGCACGAAGGGCACATTCCTCTGCCTGGAAATCCCAGGGACGAGCATCCAGGTCTGGGCACAGGGGAAAGGGGTGTTCGAGGGGAACTGGGGCCCTTCAGCCAGCCCACATCCCTCAGGAAGGGTCTTTGCAGGTCCTTACAAAGAGCAACATGTGGGGCACGGAGGAGGCAGTGACCAACGGCCACTCTTCCGCATGATGCCACCACCCCAAGTCCCTCCCTACACGCCAGCCTAAGGGCTGCACAAGCCCTAAAGGCAGCAAAGGGACAGCTCTGGGTGCAGACAAGCCCCTGCCAGGAGCAGCAAGGACCGGGCTGAGGGGATGCTCTGCAGTCCCTGTGATTCACGTACCATTGCCGTAAGCCCAGTCGTCGTTGAGACGGTGCCGCACCTTCTGGTAGATGGCTGACATGGTCTTCATGTTGCTCTTCCTCCACTGCCGGCCCAGGTACTTGGTCTGGACCTTGAGAAGCTTCAGCACATAGAGCTGCATCATGGCCTGCTTCACCTTCAGCGCCCGCTTCAGGATAGGGGCTGACTTGAACACCACCAGCATCTGTAGGGACAGGCCCCCGGCAGTGGAGGACAGAGAGTGACAGAATCATGGAATGGTTTGGGTTAGAAGAGACCTTAAAGCTCCTCCAGCTCCAACCCCTGCCACAGGCAGGGACCCCTTCCATAGAGCAGCTTGCTCCAAGCCCCTGTGTCCAACCTGCCCTTGAACACTGCCAGGGATGGGGCAGCCACAGCTTCTCTGGGCACCCTGTGCCAGCGCCTCAGCACCCTCACAGGGAAGAACTTCTGCCTTACATCCAACCTCACTTTTAACTGCTTAAACCCATCAGCTCCTGTCCTGGAAGCTGCTCTCAGGTCTCCCCTTCAGGAGCCTTCTCTTCTCCAGGCTGACCCAGCCCAGCTCTCTCAGCCTGGCTCCAGAGCAGAGCTGCTCCAGCCCTCGCAGCATCTCCACAGCCTGCTCTGGACTTGCCCAAACAGCTCCACATCCCCTGTGTTGGGAGCACCAGACCTGCACACACTGCTCCAAGTGGGGTCTCAAGAGAGCACAGCAGAGGGGCAGGATCCTGTCCCTGTTCTGCTGCTCAAGCTCTGGGGATGCAGCCGAGCACAAGGGGGGGGTGGTTCTGGGCCAGGTCATGGGGAGCTTCTTGTCACCCAACACCGCCAGGTCCTTCTCCTCAGCCTGCTCTCAATCTCTGCCCAACCTGTGGCTGTGCCCGGGACTGCCCTAACCCAGGGGCAGGACCTTGCACTTGGCTCTGTTGAACTCCATGAGGTTGGCCCTGGCCACCTCTCAAGCGTGCCCAGGTCCCTCTGTGGGGACCACCCCACTGCATGTGTGGCACCGCTCGCTGCAGTGAGCACCCCCCCTCTCCCCTTCAATCACCCTCTCTAACCTCCTGCTCCCTGAAGTACCCCAGGGGCACCCCAAGGCACTCCCAGCCCAGGCACCCTGTGGAGCCCAGTGTGGCTGGGCTGGGCCCCGGTGGGCTCCCCACCCTCACCATGGTGCGGGAGTGCTTCCACTTGGTGAGCTTGTTCAGGATGCGCAGGAGGTTGATGCAGGAGAAGAGGTTCCTCCAGCAGAACTGGTTGTTGTCTCCAGCTTCCTGTGGGGAAGCAGGGGCAGGGGTCACGCAGGAGATGGGAACAGGGATGAGGGGAGGCTGTTCTGGTCTGAAGACCCATACCCAAAGGGGTACAGCTCAACACACAGATGTCTGCCAGCCCCACACCACCCCAAAGTCCCAGGGACTGAGTGCAGGAGTGGATGCTGGAGCCCTGCTGCCTCCCTGCACCCATGTTCCCCCCCTCCAGGGAGCACCCAAGGGTGCCAGGAGCAACTCACCAGGCTCTCTGCTGTCAGCTCAGGCAGCTCGTGCACCACACAGTATGGGTAGTCCAGGACAGAAATGCTGCAGGTAGAAGGGTGTTGTGCTGCTCCCCCAGATCCTACCCAGCCTGGGGGTAACAGCCCCACACCTCCCACCCACTGGAGATCACGGAATGGTTTGGGTTGGAAGCTGTTGTGAGCACTTCCCCAGGTCTACCTGCACCCACAGTCAAGGAGGGATCACGAGGGGGCAAAGCAAGCAGGGACATGGGTGGGCAGCTCCCTTTGTTACCTGTTTTTGGCAGTGATGTAGGACATGATGTTCTGGTTGAAGAACTTCAGGATGAGCGGGATGCAGTTGGCAAAGACGAGGTGCTGGGCCATGTACTCAAACTGGGGACAAAGGCGAGTGAAGGGGGACCCAGTTTGGGTCCTGCCCATCCCCAAAGCCCCAGGCAGGGTCCCTGGACCCTGTCCCACCTCACCTGGTAGATGTGGTTCAGCTTGAAGTGCTTGAGCAGGAGGAGCAGCACAGCAGAAATGGCTTTGACAATGATCTCCTTGTGCCGATTCACATCCACCCCTAACTTCATGCTCTGCAGCACCGTGGTCCTGAGGGACACAGAGGGCTCCTTGGGCTGGGGCACTGTCTGCAGGCAGCCCTGCCACCCCCTGGCAGCAGCACCCAACACCTGGCACCCTACTGAGCAGAAGGTGGTGAGATCACTCAGGAGAACCACAACACGGCCCCAGCCCAAACCACACCACCCTGCCTGCCTCCTCCTCATCCCCCTTTCCTTTCCCTTCCCCTCCCTTCCCGGCAGCACCTCTGCTCACCCCCCACGGTCACTCACGGCATCTCCTCTGGCAAGACATCTGCCAGGATGTTGATGGAGTCTGTCTTGGCTTTGGAAGTGGGGGCTGCAGCGAGGAGGATCTTCAGCAGAGCAATCTGGGGAGGAGGGAGACATGGAAAATGGGATGGGAGCCCCACTGCAGCAAGGAGTAACAGGGGGGTGCGTGCATGGGGGGGGAGCCTGGGGGCACCACTGGAAAGGGCTGGAGCAGTGGAGGGGAGTCACCTCCACCAAGCCCGGAGACCCCCAGAGCTCCCCAGCTCACCATGTACTGGGGCAGGCTTGGCAGCAGGCCCTGGTACAGGATCTCTGCAGGGACTTGCTCCACTTCTTCTTCACCCTGGTGCCACACAAGACCAGAAGACCAGGAGCTGACACTGGTGCCATGGGCCTGGCTCAGCCTCAGGAAGGACACCCCTGACCCCAAGGGCAGGATACCCCCAACTACCACCCAAAGCCTCCCCTCAAAACCCACCCTCCCCAGTGCACCAAACCCTCCAGCCCTGCCAAAAGCCAAAGTCCTGACAGGACCAAATGCCCCCAGCCCAGGATCTCCATCCCATCCTCATCCCCACTCACTCCAGAGAGCGGGGAGCGCAGGAACTCATCTTCCATGTGCACTTGGACCTCTGCAATGGACGTGTACTTGTGCTGCAGAGAGAGAGAGCAGGGGGACACCCCATGGGACCCCCTCGACGCCACCATCCCATCATCTTTCTAAGTCCCTCCCTGTTATTCCTGACCGATGCTGATGGGCAATTCCAGTGAGAAAGGGATGAAACCAGTAAGGAAAGGGGCTCATCGAGTCTGGGAGACCAGGGATGGGATGAAAACTCCAGGCTCCTCCCACCACAGCCCTGAGCAAGTGGGAGCAGGGTGAGGAAAATGCACCTTATGACACCGAGCTGTGACTGAAGCAAGAGGGAGGGAGAAGGGGCACCCACACAACAGCAGGGGCTGGGGGAATTCCTCAACGGACTCACCAGCTTCAGGGTTCGGATGCTCTCATGGATGGGCCTTGGCAATCCCACCACGGTGTTGGTGTCACTAGAGAGAAGGGGAAGAGCCAGGCTGGGTGCAGGCAGGAGCAAAGCTGCTGGGTCAGAGACCACCAACCACCACCCCAAGAAGGAGCCAGTGAGCTCAGGGCTTCCCTGCTGCCAAGCACTGGGCAATGGCAGCCCCCACGTTAGCAGCTTCCACCACAATCCCCCCAGGATCAGCCTCTCCCCACCAAGGGCTGGCTCTGCAGGAACCCACCTGCCAAGCGTGTAGCCGATGAACTTGCTGCGGCTGGACTCCAGGAACATCTCGATGTCCTTCTCTCTGCAGCAAAGGGAAAAGGGAAAGAGTCACAGCTCCCTGCACCCCTGGGTCCAGCACAGCCCCAGGAAAAGCCATGCGGCCACAGAAAGGAATCACTGAAATCACCCAGCTCAGAAAAGCCCTTTCAGCCCATGCAGTCCAACCATTCCCAGCACTGCCAAGGCCACCCCTAACCCATGGCACTGAGGCCTCGTCTCCACGTTGTGTGAACACTTGCAGGGACGGTGACTGCAGCCCTGCCCTGGGCAGCCTGTTCCAATGCCTGAGCACCCTCTGGGGAAGGAATTGTTCCTCAGCTCCATCTAAACCTGCCCTGGGGCAGCTTGAGGCCGTTTCCTCTTATTCCTTGGGAGCAGAGCCCAGCCCCTCCTGGCTCCATCCTCCTCTCAGGCAGTTGTAGGCAGTGATCAGGTCCCTCCCAGGTCCCTCAGCCCTTCCCCATCACACTTGTGCTCCAGGCCCTGCACCAGCTCCGCTGCCCTTCTCTGGCCCCACTCCAGCACCTCAATGTCTCTCCTGCAGTGAGGGGCCCAGAGCTGAACACAGGATTCGAGGTGCGGCCTCCCCAGTGCCCAGCACAGGGGCACAATCCCTGCCCTGGCCCTGCTGCTGCACTGGTGCTGGTACAGGCCAGGATGCTGGGGGCTTCCTGGCTGCCTGGGCACAAGCTGCTCATGTGCAGCTCCATCACTCAGCACCCCCAAGAGATGATGCTAAGCCCACCCCACCAAAGAACAGCCACCAAAGTGACCCCATCCCCAACACCTTCCCCCACAGCCCTGCTGACACCCTCACTATCTAACAGCCCCCAATTTCCACTCCAGCTCTCCCCACAGGGCAGCCCCAGGGACTCACCGGACCTTGGGGGCCCAGGGCAGCCCCTTGGGGCAGGTGATGCGGTCGCTGGGGGGGTGCTGGGTGGGGGGAGGCATCACTTCATCCCGTTCGAGGGGGAAGGTCTCTCCCTCCAGGCTGTTGTCATCATCGTTTTCCTCCTCTTCCTCACGGGAGTCATCAGCTTTGTACGGATCCCGCTCATTGAAGGCATCGAGGTTATCCTGCTTGATCAGGGCCTGGAGAGAGAAGAGGAGGGAGGTGACCAAGCTGCTCCAGCGCCCAGAGCACTGTCCCCTCATTTATGTCACTGTCCCCACCTTGTGCTCGCGCCGGCCCCGCTTCTGCTGCTGCTCAATGAGGTCGGAGGCGGAGGCAGGAGGGGAGGCAGCTCTCATGTTCCGGATCACCTTGATGCTGTCCTCCGGCAGCGGCGGCAGCCCCAGCAGCTCCCTCTTCTCTGCTTTCATGCTCTGCAGCTCCTCAAAGCCCCCCAGGGTGCACTGCAAGGGAGACCACAGCACCCTGAGCATGAGGGGCTCCTTAATACCAGGGCTATCTCCAGCTGCCCTTCCCAAAGCCACTCTCCAGGAGCCCCAAATCCTTCCCCAGGGTGTAAAAGTGTCCCCGTGCTGCTGCTGTCATTGTGAAAGGCACAAGGGACAGGAGGGTGTTCAGGCACCCCCAACTCAAGTGTTTGGACCTTCTCTTTCTTAAGGCAGAAGCTCTTCCCTGTGAGGGTGCTGAGGCGCTGGCACAGGGTGCCCAGAGAAGCTGTGGCTGCCCCATCCCTGGCAGTGCTCAAGGCCAGGCTGGACACAGGGGCTTGGAGCAAGCTGCTCTAGTGGAAGGTGTTGGGACTGGATGATCCCAAGGTCCTTTCCAACCCAAACCATCTCTGTCATGGTTCTATGATTCTTTCATGCAGATCCCCAGTGAGGACTTTGCTTTGGGTCTACTCCTGGTATCCAGGCTCCAGACACCACTATTCAATGCTCCCCTATGAGGTGAAACCTGGGGCTGGGTCTAACCCCTTGGCTGAAGAGGATGGAGCAATTGCAGCCAGCTCTGAGGGCAGAACTTCCTTCCCCTGCAGACTGGCAAACCACAAGGCACGTGTCAGCAATCCACAGCTTCTCCTTACCAGCACAGTCTTCCAGAGCAGGAGCAGCACCTTCTTCATAGGGAAGTGAGGAGCATGGCCGCTGCAGAACTTGGTCACCATCCCAAAGAGCATGACAGAGAAGGGCTCGTTGTTGTACAGGGGGGCTCCTGGAACCACACGGCAGCAACAGCCTCATCCCTGTCCTCATCCCAGCCACCGGCACCATCACACTCCCCATCTCCAAGAACCCCATCTCACCCCAGACAGCTCCTCTCCTCCAGGCCACTGGCTTCCCCTGCTCATCCCCCTGCCCCCCCCAACAGCAAGGTTCAGCCCAGCAGAAACCAACCCAGTGCTGCCAGTCCCCATTAACAGAGGCCTGGAGCCAAACCCCATCTCTTCAGCCCTGGCTGCCTCCATCCACCACCCCCAAGCTCCTGGCCCTCACCCAGCTCTGCTCGGAAGGTCTGTCTCATGCTCTTCCACTCAGGCTTGTCCCCCTCAGCCTCCTGCCGAACAGTCTCCACGATCAGGTACATGATGTTCAGCAGCACCCTGCAAGCAGCAGCAGGTCAGAGGATGGGTGATGCAGCCACCAGCAGCACCCACAGCTCGCAGAGGAGGTGGATCAGGCCAGACCACAGCCAGCTTCATGCACCCCCTCGCACCAGCGGATCAGTGCTCAGGCACTGGGGAAAAGGCTCTCACTCCCCCCTGCTTTACTGCTTTCATGTCTCCAAGCAGCCACACGCCTGCAGGGCAGGCAGAGCACAGTGATGCTGCTCATGCAGCTGGGACCACCCTGGGACAACCCCTGGTGCCTGCTGACCTGTCCCAGCTTGCCAAAGAAACCAGCACCCACTGGAGCCCCTCCTCACACCCAGAGCGCCCGGTCCTTGCTCCATACCTCAGGTCTGTGCTGTCAGCCAGGGAGATGGCTGGTTTCCTCACGGCGCTGCTGCAAGCTGCACTGTTGCTGCGGAGGGAAAACAGCCTCAGAGGGGCCTCTGGACACATCTGAACAAAATGCACACCAGAGGCAAACCCTGGGACAGATCTTGCTGCAATGAGTCCCCAGTTCACAGTGCAGGCAAGGGAGGAGGAACAGAGCAGTCTCTGTTTGCTCAGTGTATTTCTGTATAAATCAGGTATAATCCTTCACTATGCAGCCACTGTGAACAACAGGAGTCATTCCAGTGGCTGCAGATCAGGGATAACCTATGGAGCCAGGCTGAGAAAGCTGGGCTGGGTCAGCCTGGAGAAGAGAAGGCTCCTGAAGAGGAGACCTCAGAGCAGCTCCAGTGCCTGAAGGGGCTGCAGGAAACCTGGAGAGGGGCTTTGGACAAGGGCCTGTAGGGCCAGGCCAAGGGGAATGGCTTTAACCCCCCAGAGGGGAGACTGAGATGAGCTCTTAGGCAGAAGCTCTTCCCTGTGAGGGTGCTGAGGCGCTGGCACAGGGTGCCCAGAGAAGCTGTGGCTGCCCCATCCCTGGCAGTGCTCAAGGCCAGGTTGGACACAGGGGCTTGGAACAAGCTGCTCTAGTGGAAGGGGACCCTGCCTGTGGCAGGGGTTGGAGCTGGAGGAGCTTTAGGGTTCCTTCACCCCAGACCATTCCATGATTCTCTGATGGACAGACCAGGAATGGAACTGTCACAGACTGGAAAAACTCCAGCCAAGGAGCTCCAGGGGCAGTTCTCAAGTGCTTTCCCCCGGTACTCACTCTATCTCCATGTTCAGCAGCTCCACCAAAGCATTGAAGGTCCCCACCTCCAGCAAGAGGAAGATGTTGTACCTCATCCAAGCCTGCACCTCGGCCTCAGAGCCACACTCTCCAAACGTGCCTGCAACAACACCCTCTCTGGATCCCATCCATCTCCACAGGGATCCCAAAGCCCTCCCCATTCCCAGAGCACTTTACATGGGGAAAGAACAACACAGCCTTAAGGCAAAAAGTCAGATGCAGAGCATGGAGCTGCTCTCTTGGCCTGACAGAGCCAGGACAGCACGGGGAAATCAGCCAAATTTTAGACCAAACTCCCACAAACCGTGTGACTTCCATAAGAACCAGTTTCGTTCCAAACATGCAAAGTGAAATCAGAAATGGAAGGAATGAGAATGACTTTAAACAGCTGAAGTTCCCAGTCCCCAGCCCGTTTGTTGGATTTAGCAATGGGGAGAATCAAAAGAGCAGGGGCCCAGCATCACCTTGGGCAACATAAAGGATGGCTCGAGCAACCCTCAGCCTCTTCTCCCTGGCAGTGACCTCCAGCCCATCGAGCAGGCGCATGGCGTGCGTGCGGTGCTGGTTCCTGTCCAGCTCCGTCCACTTCTTGTCCCGCACTGCAAAGGCAAAGTGGACAAGGTGAGGGCAGGGAGGCAGCAAACAGGACGAGAGGATTCAGCAGGATGGAAACCAGGACACAAGGTGCTCCTGGGAGTGACACTGGGCAGCGAGTGGCACGGGGATGCCGTCTCCCGCTTCCCATCAGATGAATCACATCCATCTGGAGTGGAGCCGATGGGAACGAGCTGGATGCTCCTGCTGCTGCCAGAGCACTGCCAGCCTGGTGCTGCTGAATCACCTCAGACACCAACACCAGCGCTGGAGGCAGACAGAGCTCTGGGATGAGCCCATGCCCACTGATGACGGCTCCAGTACAAACCACAGGAAGATTATCAGTGCGTGGCTCGAGCTGCTGCAGCGTTAACGTGGCAAGCCCCACACCCCCTTTGGCAGAGCCCTGTCCTCCCCAGGGAGGTCCAAGAGCAGGGTCTTACTGTGGATCCTGAAGTCCTCCTCGAAGCACTTGCGGTTGAGCAGGAACTCTGGGCCCTCTGTGTAGCTGTAGAGCTCTGCAGGGAGAGCAGAGGAAAACCTCCACCAGCCTGCACTGAGCTGGCAGAGCAAGGTGCACCTCTGCACCCTGAGTCCAGTGTTACCCAAGAGGAGAGAAAAGCAAACCCCACACCCAGCATAAGGTTAAACCCGTTCATTACAGACATTGAATAAGGTGTTTAAGGCAATAACAGAGCCATGCTGGAGCTGTCAGAGCTCCTTCAATCCCTACCAGGAAAGGAAATCACGGCTGGTTCATTGATGCATCAAGATGGATTCCTTACCAGAGAGCTCTGCTGCCCATTTGTCTGTATCTGCATATTCAAACTCCAGGTCTGGGGACTCCGAGTAGCCCTGAAGGCAGAGGAAGAGCTCAGTTCAATGAGAGCAGCTTGCAGGAAGCCCCAGATCCCTGCAGCATTCCCAATGCACCTCATCCTCCCGGGGAATGCAGAGCTGGAGCTTGGGTTTAAGAGCCCCAAACCTGCACTCGCAGCCGTGTCAGTGTTCCCAAGGCAACTCCCACCTTCCTCCTCCTCCTCCTGCACCCGCAGCCGCATGGAGCTGCCCTGGTGGCACTGCAGCACCTCTGAACACTCCCAAAGGGCAGGGGATGAAGCAGGAGCTGGGATGTGGCCAAACCTCAGGGCTCTGCAGGAGCAGGGAGGCCTCAGAGCTGGGGGAGCTGGGGTTATCCCCCCAGTGCTGAGCACAGAGATACCGACGGATGTGGATGGGGAGAATGAAACCACTCCAAAGAGCTTCAGCGAGGGTGGGAAACCACCCAGAACCTCAGAGCACAAAGCAGCTGCTCCCTTAAAGCCATCCAGGCGGACCCACAGGAAATGAGTCCTGAACCTCAGGGTACCCACTCGTGGGCAAGGGGCAGACCCAATGGGCCAGCTCCTGGAGGGTGCTGGGAGCCATTCCCTGGCATCCAGGGCTCAGGAAACTCCTCAGAGCGCGTTCCCAACCCTACCGAGGCCACCCATGGAAGCGGGCGGCTCTGAAGCCATCCCAACAGGGAAACCAGATGGGAAACCCCCGGGATCAATGAGCTTCACACCCTCCATCTAACCCCCCCCCCCCCCCCCAGGACCTCGGTGTCTCCATGGAGGCCTCAGTCAGCTCCAGGGACCGGCCCACAGGGACCGAGCAGCGCTGCCCTCAGCACACAGCCCCGGTACGGCCCTCGGGTCTGGAACCGAGCCACGGCCGTGCCCCGCACAGGCCAAACCGACGCGGGCTTGGGGGAACGGGAAAGCGGCGCCGAGGTGAGCCCAGGCCCGGCCCCAGGGGACCCGGTACCGGAACCCCGGCAGGCCCAGCGGGCCCTCTCCGGACAGGCCGCCCGCTCCCCCCCCCACCGCGCAGCCGGAGCCGGCGGCGCTGACCTCGGAGTCCTTCCGCGGCGGCCGGCCCAGGTCGCGGCCCTTGGCGGGGGGCACGGCCCCACCGCGGGCCTTGTTGTTCCCCGGGAGCGGCCCCGCGCCCCCCGGCTCCATGGCGGCCGCCCTCACCGCGCCGAGCTCTCGCGAGGACTCACCCCCCCTTCTCGCGGGAGCGGCAGGGAGAGCCGGGGTAGCGCCGCCGCCGCCGCCATGTTGGGAGCGGCACCGGCGGAGCTCCGGTCCCCACCGAACGGCTGCGATGTGGCTCCTCCCGCCGGCCCCACCGCCCCGCCGCGCCGGCCGCGTCACAGCCCCGCTCCGCCCGCCCCCGGCGGACACGGGCAGCGACGGGACCGGCCGGCTGCGAGCTCCGCCCCTGCGCCGCCATCTTAGGTGTGGCACCGCGCTGGGCGCCGCCATCTTGGGAGAGGCGCTTCCGCCCTCCCTTGGGAAGCCATGGGGGCCGCCATGTTGAGAGTGGCAGGAAGGGGATGGCGGGGTCCGTCCCCACCGAGAGGGCGATGAACCCTCAAATGAGGGGGTTTGAGGGGCTCGGACCCCACAGAGAGAGCTCAGAGGGACACAATGGGGTTTAAACCCCAAGTAAACGGGGGAAGAGGGGGGGTCAGGCCCCTGGAGATGCTCAGAGGGTGCGGATGGGGCTCTCCCTCTTCCAAAACAAACTTCCCACAAGCCAAAGTGCTTCGTTTTTTCCTAAGAGTTTAATTAGAGTTTAATGATTTATTGCTCATCTGCGAGGATTAATATTGCATCCATTAAAAATCATTCATATACAAAATAAACCTCTCCCGGCCCGACGCTGCCACCGCCGGCCCCAGGCTCCCCCTGTGACATGGCTTATAGAGACAGAGCCCTTATGGAGCCAAGGCTTGACCCTAACGTGGGAAGGGGTCGGGGGGGAAAATGGGGGGCTGTGACCCACCCCTCCCATGCAGGGATCCCCGCACAGGACAAGGGGGAATGATCCCAGTCCCTCCCTGCAGGAATCCATCCCATTGGGAAGGCTGGAAGGGAGCCTTGGAAGCAGGTGGATCCCAAGTTGAGGAGGGGAGCAGGCAGGTAAAGAAGGAGTCGTCAAAGGACAAGGAAGTGGAGAGGAAAAGAAGAGGGTGATCGAAGCCATGAGCATCCCCCCCCTTTCCCTCCATCCACAAAGGAGCCTTGCACAGCCCCAATGAGGGACCCAGGCACGGGGGGGCTGGAGGTGAAGGAGCAGCCTCAGGGGGACCACAGCATCTCCATTATCCATGTACCGGGAGATGCTGGCAGCCGGGATCCTCCTTCCCTCCACGCTCTTGGGCTGGGGGAAAGCACTAAAGAGGCAATTTGGGGAGGAGAAAAGAAGCCAAGAGAAACCTCCCCGGGACAAGCGGCAAGAGGTGGAGAACAGAAACGTCACCGGAGAGGATGAGGAAGGGGAGGAAGGCGGCGATGAGAGCGGCTGAAACGCACTGCGAGAGGGCAGGGGCAGCGCCGGGGAGCAGAGGGCTCTGGGGTACAGCAAAGGCTCAGCTCTGTGTCCAGCTCAAACAAAACCACCCCATAATAACCCCCACCACAGCTGCTTGCTGGCAGACGGGGCCGCATCCCTCCTGCTTCCCCTCCTCCAAACCGTCTCCATCCTAAGGATCCAAAAGGAAAAGAGGAAGGAAAACCAAACCAAACCAAACCACGGCGTTAACCCAGTTAAGGTGCAGTTTGGCTACAACCCAACAGCACAAACCTAGGAGAGGTGAGGATAATGCGCGGCCCCCATCCCGATTCACATTAGCACCCTGGACCAGCCAACTCCCCCCTTCCCCGAAGCCACCTCGGTCCCCCAGGGCTTGGGGACCTATTCTCCAGGTGGCCACCAGGGGCCGCTCTGCTCCCGAGCCGGGCTCCGGCAGCCAAAACCGGGCTCTTTTAAGGCAATTTAGAAGTTGCAGATAACCCACACGAAGAAAAGAAACAGAAGAGAAGGGCAAAAGAGCATCTCCGCACCGGCAGGGCCGCCGCCGAGAGCAACCCGGGCTGCAAAGGTGACAAACAACCCAGAACCATCGCTGCAGGAAGGAGCAGGAAAGGGAAAACCCTCCCCAGGAGCCACCAGTGGCTTCAGCCACATGAAAGCAAGAAGCACATCCCCAGGTTGGCTGCTAAGAGCAGAGATGTGAGCACATAAAAGGGTAAAATGCGAGGCGGGGGGGAGAAGGGAAGAAAAGTGACCTTAAAATCACATTGGTCAATGTAAAACCAGGTTCTTTTGTTGGTTAAAAATAAACAAAAAGGGAAAAGTAAACCCAAATAAAAATGATCTTTAAAAATAATCTCTCTAATGTTGCCTTGTGTGGTCTGGTCCTTCCTGCATGGTCCATCAGTATCTAGGAGAGAAGAAAGGGGAGGGGAGGGTGAGGCCCTGGTTGCTTGGGGACACGGCTCTTGGGAGCCAGGCACCCATGGGATGGGGCCGCAGCAGCTCCCTGCCCTGGCCACCACCGACCTGTAGTAATTGGGTTTGAAAGGCCCGTTCTTGTTGAGTCCCAGGTATTTGGCCTGATCGTCCGTCAGCTCTGTCAGGTGGGCATCAAAGGAAGGCAGGTGCAAGCTGGCAACGTACTCATCTGGGCAAGGGGGAAAGGGGGGATCAGGGGGCGCACGGCACCCGCTGGCACTGCTGGGGGGATGGATGGACTCCATGGACTCACTGTACGGCACCACAGTGGGGCTGAGCCATTCAGCACCATGGGTTCACCCTCACCTATGGCAGAGCTGAGCCCAAGCGCTGGTGCTGAGCAGGGCTGGATGTGCACCAAAAGGCACAAGGGTGGCATGGCAAACCTGGGAGCTGGAGGCTGAGGGGTGCAGGACACTGAGGGACATCAACCAGCCCGCACTGATTACACGGCTGCAGCTTCCGATGCCTTCCTGCTCCTGAAGCCTTTCCCAGCCCAGGTTTGAGCTTCTCCCTCCATCCAAAGCTGCCCACAGCAACCCAAGGGCTCATCCAGCCCTGGCTGCCTTCACTCACCCATCTTCTTGGGCAGCAGGTACACGTCCTGCTTGTAACGGCCCTCGGGAGCGTTGTAGAGCTCAATCAGAGCCAGAGCCTGCAGAGAGCACAAGGGACAGTCAGGGACTGCCACCACAGTGGCACAAAGCTCTGGGCAGCAGGGAGAAGGGATTGGGAGCCTGAGGGGGCCAGAAGCCGCTTCCAAAACACCCTGAGGGAAAAGATTACCCCCCCCCCCCCCCAGGGTACCTCCATCTCTGGGTCTCCAGGGTCCTACCGCCAATGGCACAGGACCACAGAGATCACAGACCCATGGAATGGTTTGGGGTGAAGGAACCTTAAAGCTCACCCAACCCCAACCCCTGCCACGGGCAGGGACCCATTCCATAGAGCAGCTTGCTCCAAGCCCCTGTGTCCAACCTGCCCTTGAACACTGCCAGGGATGGGGCAGCCACAGCTTCTCTGGGCACCCTGTGCCAGCGCCTCAGCACCCTCACAGGGAAGAGCTTCTGCCTAAGAGCTCATCTCAGTCTCCCCTCTGGCAGGTTAAAGCCATTCCCCTTGGCCTGTCCCTACATCCCTTGTCCCAAGCCCCTCTCCAGCTTTCCTGCAGCCCCTTCAGGCACTGGAGCTGCTCTCAGGTCTCCCCTTCAGGAGCCTTCTCTTCTCCAGGCTGCCCCAGCCCAGCTCTCTCAGCCTGGCTCCAGAGCAGAGCTGCTCCAGCCCTCACAGCATCTCCCATGGCCTCCTCTGGCCTCGCTGCAACAGCTCCACGTTCCTCTTGTGCTGCTGCCCCAGGGCTGCACACACAGAACACAGCTCCCACTCAGCCCATCTGCAGCACCTGGGCTTAACTCCTCAGGGAAACCTGAGCCTGAGGATGGAGGAGAGGGGCACAGCTCCGATTCTCTTAAAACCCTGTGGCTGCCGCTGCTGGTTTGAAGCTGGTGGTGTTGCTCCAAACCCCATGGCCACTCAGCAGCAGAACCAGAACTGCACTGCCCCGAATGCTGCTTCACAGCCAAGAGCCAGGCCTGAAACACAGCTCTGGTCCCCAGCAGTTCAGACCCACAAATGCAAGGATAAGGCAATTCCCACCATCAGCATGGGAGTCCCCAGCCATCGGTCCCCCCCCGTGCTTCCAGCCCTGGAGGTCTCTCCCATCACTGACCCAGACCTCAGAGCCCCATTTAGCCACTGCTTTCCTTGGAAAGGCAGAGCTGCAGCAGTGCAAGGCGCAGGCTGTGCCCACCCAGGCACCATCCATGGGGCGGGGGGGAAGCTGTGCTGTAGAAATCCAGGAGTCCAAAGAGAAAGCAAAGCTGTGCTTTGAGGTCAGCTTAAAGCTGGGCTAAGGGAGCTCTGCAGGGGCTGGCAGAGCAGCAGGAGCTCTGCCATGAACCCTGGCTCTTTCCATAGCCTCACAGCACGGTTAGGGTTGGAAAGGAGCTTAAAGCTCATCTAGTGATGATCTTCTTTAACAGCTTAAAAATCAATATACATAGATGGATAAATACATAACAATCTGTATTTCAGCACCAGTGTGGCAGCAGGGACAGGGCAGGGATTGTGCCCCTGCACTGGGCACTGGGGAGGCTGCACCTTGAATCCTGTGTTCAGCTCTGGGCCCCTCACTGCAGGAGAGACATTGAGGTGCTGGAGTGGGGCCAGAGAAGGGCAGCGGAGCTGGTGCAGGGCCTGGAGCACAAGTGTGATGGGGAAGGGCTGAGGGACCTGGGGGGTTCAGGCTGGAGAAGAGAAGGCTCAGGGGGGACCTGATGGCTGCCTACAAGTGCCTGAGAGGAGGATGGAGCCAGGAGGGGCTGGGCTCTGCTCCCAAGGAACAAGGGATGGGACAAGAGGAAACGGCCTCAAGCTGCCCCAGGGCAGGTTTAGATGGAGCTGAGGAACAATTCCTGCCCCAGAGGGTGCTCAGGCATTGGAACAGGCTGCCCAGGGCAGGGCTGCAGTCACCGTCCCTGCAAGTGTTCACACAGCGTGGAGACGAGGCCTCAGTGCCATGGGTTAGGGGTGGCCTTGGCAGTGCCGGGAATGGTTGGACTGGGTGAGCTGAAAGGGCTTTCCCAGTCTGGCTGATTCTGGGATTCAGTGATATAGAAGCTCCCTCCCAGCTGTAATCAGAGCAGCAAGCTCACACCATCATCAACTGCATCCCAGCCAAGAGGTGGCACCTACGGTACCTCTGGCACCGGTGTCATCCCAAGGACCCATCCAAGTGCATGTTCCCAGCTTCTTCCAAACCATCCCCAGCCCAAGGCTCATACCAGGCCCCAGAGCACCCTCCAAACCCCAGCCCTGCAGGTACAGACCTGAGTGGTGGCCGTGATGGAGAGCACGAAGGTGGGGACCGTGGAGCAGCTCAGGTTCAGAAGCCGGCCCTATGGGACAGCAGGGGTTTGCCAAGAGCTCAACTTGCCCCCAAAACCAAACCAAACCAAACCGAGTCTCAAGGCAGGATTTGCCTCTACCCCCTTCCTGAGCCAGGGGGCAACCACAGCACAGGGATTCCAGGCCCACCTGTGTGACCAGAGCGTTCAAACTCTGCCTCAGTTTCCACCCTAGCCCTTAAGCTTTAAGGCAGGGAGATTCTGTGGTCCTAGAAAGAACCAGTCCCTCCTACTGCCACAGGAGCTCCAGTGGGAAGAGGAAACTCCCAGGCAGTTTGCTGCATGGGAAACCCTGCCAGAGCCAGAAGCAGATGGCATGTGGCTGATAGGGATGGCTCCAGGCTCGGAAGAACAGAGCCAGATGGCACCTTGTGGTACCTGCCATGCCCCAGGAAAAGGGGTGAAAAGGAAGCCAAGAAAGCCTTTCTTGATCTCTGATCCTGGCACCTTTCCACCGGGTGCAATCCCTGTCACCAACTGCGGCACGCAGCGATGCCCTGGTGGGGACCCAAAGCAACACCGTGGCGCAGCTCTCAGCACACCTCAGCCAGCAGCACCACCCGCTTCCCATCCGGCCAGATGACGTGATCCACCTGGGAACGGACCCGCTCCCACGTGAGCTCCGGGGTCCGGAGGCTGGTCTGCAAGAGCAGGAGGAGAGGCTGGGGTCAGGGTCGGGGGGGCAGGGAAGGGGGGTGCAGTGGAGGGGGGAGGCAGACGCACCACATCGATCTCTGTGTTGGAGTGACCCATGTTGCACACGATGCAACTGTTCTTCATCCGGTCCAGGTGCTCCCTGGTCACCACGTTCTTGTTTCCTGCAGGCAGAGAGGGCACGGATGAAGCCAAGGCTGGGGAATATCGGCCCTTGGATTTGCCCTTCCATGCACTCAAGTCGGACGAGCTCAGCTTGGGGGAGATGAGCTTCTACCAGGGTAAAAGCCCTCAGAGAAACACATGGGGTCAGTGCTGATCCTTGGTGCCATGAATTAACCAGGAGACGCCAAAACTCCCTCGGGACACACGGCTGCGGTGTCGCTTCTCCCAGGGGCCGAGAAGGACTGTGGCCAAAGAGCAGATTGGGGTGGGATGGGAGAAGCTCCTGCCAGAGCAGGGCTATTGCTCTAAGCAGCACATGACAATGATGTGGCCTCCATCCCCAGCTCGAGACACCCACTTGGGAACATCTGCTCCTCCTCAGCCTGCTCCAAGGCTCCCCTCCCACTTCCCCATCCCTACCTGTGCAGGTGATGACAACATCCACCTGACGGATCACTTCACTCAGCTTCACCACCCGAAATCCATCCATGCTGGCAAAAAAGGGGGAGAGGGACCACGATGAGGAGGAGAAGCCTGATCCCTCCCTGCTCACACAGCAGCCAGGCCATCCTTACACACCCCCAGGGATGCCAGATGCACTGAATAACAGATTGGAAGGGACCTTAAAGCTCCTCCAGCTCCAACCCCTGCCACATGCAGGGACCCCTTCCCCTAGGGCAGCTTGCTCCAAGCCCCTGTGTCCAACCTGCCCTTGAACACCCAGTCTGTTCACCGAGATGGATCCACAGCTCCTCCTGGCTCTGCTTCAGCCTCCAGCAGGCTCTGGAGGAGGGCAGGGAGCAGCTGAGGAGATGCTCAGGTAACACCTTACCAGGCCTGGAGCGCGCAGATGGGGTCGATCTCCGTGACGTAGACGATGGCTCCCAGGGCTTTCAGAGCAGCGCAGCAGCCTTTGCCGACCTGCGGGGCAAAGCTTCAGCGTGGAGCAGGGCATGGCACACACCGGGTGCTGCAATGGCTTCCCTAAACCAGCCCCAGTGCACCCCAGGCTGGGAAGAGCCCATCCTGACCACGTGCCCGATGGCAGGAGCTAAGGGATGGAGCTGGTGAGCGGCCCCTCAGCTCCCCCTCCGAGGCCCCCAGCACAGGCAGGAGCTTCCCAAACCAACATGCTCAAAGCCTGTGCAGCCCCAGCCCCACGGGAGCCCCTCTGAGCCCTCCTCCAAGAGCAGGTTAAAGCCAGGCTGGAGCAGCACCCACTTCCCCAGCCAAAAGGCTCCTGCCCTGCACTGCTGGGGGACAGAGCCTCCATCCCATGCTCAGCATGGCGAGAGCAGAGCTCCTGGACCAGCAAATCTGCCTCTCTCCTTCTCCTCCCTACCAAGCTAAGCTGCAGTCTGTTTCTCCACACCACTTACCCACACTAACACCAGGCTCACCTGCACAGAACCCTGCTCAGCCCCACCTTCTGACCAGCAAGAAACATCTCCAGAGACCCCATCACATCACCCAGCTCCAACCTCAGTCTATTGACCAGAGCCAGGCAGGGCAAACTGGGGCTGCAACCCACAGAGGGGACACTAGTGAAGGTGGAAGCACTCCCTGGTTCTGAAGGTGCCCGGTAGAAGTAGGGACAGGCCCTGGAGACTCCAGCTCCTAGCACAGCTCCTGGCTGGAGCCTCACAAACCACCCCAGAGCGCTGCGGGAGAGTCAGGGCAGCCTCTTGGTGCAGCAGAGCTGGGCTCCACTGGGGTCCAAAGAGATCAGTGAGCATATTCCTGCTGGGAAGAGCATTTGCAGCTCCTGCCAGGCCCTGTGCAGCACGGGGTGATGCAGACAGTGCACAGATAGAGGGAAGGTGGCAGGCCCCAGCTCCACACTCTCCCAGGGCAGCCTCACTTGCATGATCGGGATACAATTCCCCTCTGCCAGAGGATTATTCCCAGTGAGCTGCAGCCTGACCCTCCCACCTCCTGTGTCCCAGGCTCAGTGACAGCCAGGCTGGATGCTGGACTCAGGCCACAGGCAGCAGATGGGAGCACCCATGGGTACTTAGAATTCAAAGCCAGTGTTCCCAGGAAGTGTGGGGTTTGCAGCCCCATCACCTGCAGGCAAAATGGGAAATGGGAGGCTTGTTCTCCAGGCTCCCAGCAGGGTCTAAGCATGGTAACTGCTTCTCAGGTTTGATCTACTCCTATATCAAGGGCATGAGGCCTTTGCAGAGGGAAGCAGCAGGCTGCTGAGCTGCAGGGAAGGCTGACTCACAGCCCCCACTGCTGCTTCCAAAACTCACCTCCCCATAACCACAAACCACCACTTGCTTCCCTCCAAACATCACATCCGTGGTCCTCTTCAGGCTGGGGGACAGAGAGAGACCTGTGTTGGGATTAGTCAAGCGCACACCGCTGATGGCACAAGCCCCCATCCCCAGGTCCTGCAAGCAAAGAGCAAGACCCAAGCAGCAAAGAGCCAGACGCGTGCTCCAGAGGAGGCAGGGCCAAGTGCAGCGTGAGTGAGAGCAGGGCTGGACTCACCCGTCCAGGATGGACTCCCGGCAGCAGTACAGGTTATCAAACTTCTGCTTGGTCACAGAGTCGTTCACGTTCATGGCTGGGACACACAACTTCCCAGCCTTGGAGAGCTGGTACAGCCTGGAAGAGGGCAGAGGCAGGTCAGAGCAGAGAGCAGCAAGTCAAGGAGCCACCTCCAGATGATGCTTCCCAAAGCTCCTACCTGTGCACGCCGGTCACGCTCTCCTCCACAATCCCTCGGATCTTCTTGAAGACACTGGGGTATTTCTTATAAACCCAATGGGTCAGGTCCCCGCCATCATCCAGGATCTAGAGGAGAACACGGAGCAGTCAGGCCTTCCGTTGGGAAACACACTTACTGGAGACAGGACAGGGAACAAGAGATGGAGAACACCTTCAGGCACTGATGGAGGGCTGGTGGGGCAGTGAACTGGGGCCAGGGCTCCTGGCTTCCCCTTGCCAATCGCTTGGGGTGTCCTCCAAAGCACAGAGGATTTCTTACCCCCAGTGAGGAGCTGATGGATCCTAACAAGGTTTTGTGCCTCTGCTATTGCTCTGCAGCCCAGAAACATGCCCATAAACAGCACTAACTGAGTGCAGAAGGATGCCACAACATGCATGCCCTGAAAGCAAAGACTCAAGGAAAGGCTGCAGGAGCTGTTACAGCCCACTGACATGTGCTACTGCATCATTAGTGATCATGGCCCATGCACTGAGATGTCACCTGCTTCCAGCAAGGGAAACAGCCCCTGCAGAGACCTCCCTCTTTTGGGGAGGAGCAGCTGGGGCAGCTCCCATAGGGCAGACCCTGGCGGGGGGGGAAGAGGTCCTGTGGTTTCTCAGCTCTTCTTCCACACCACTGGGCTGTGGGACATCACCTCTGCAGCTGGTGGGACCCAGGACATCACCTCTGCAGCTGGTGGGACCCAGGACATCACCTCTGCAGCTGGTGGGACCCAGGACATCACCTCTGCAGCTGGTGGGACCCAGGACATCACCTCTGCAGCTGGTGGGACCCAGGACATCACCTCTGCAGCTGGTGGGACCCAGGACATCACCTCTGCAGCTGGTGGGACCCAGGACATCACCTCTGCAGCTCCTGCAACCCCCAGCCCAGCTCTGGCTGCCATTCTCCAGGATCCCTGCTTTGATGGGGCTCAGAGGCCTTTGCAAAGCCCAGGAACAGCCCCAGCGAGGGAAGGGTGAGGAACACCCAGTGACCACTCCACAGAGGGAGAGGAAGGGCTGGGAGGAGGCTCATTACCATGTTGGCCTGCCAGCCATCTATGTTAACACAGCGGTCAATGCACCACCAGAAGTCATCCTCCGACTCCCCCTTCCAGGCAAACACAGCAACACCTAGAAGAAGAGGAGCATCCTTGGCACCAGCCGAGTCTGGCAGAGCTCTCTCCTGCTTGGCCAGCTCAAGAAAGCCACAGACAGCAGAGCCAAGGGGCCACACAGAGCTCAAAGCACAGCCCCCACCAGCCTCAGACCTGTTTCGCCTGCCCTGAAAGGTATTTGGGGCAAACCACCCCTCAAAGCAGCCCCGAGGGACGCGGCTGCAGGGCCAGGAGGAGCTGGAAGGGCTCTGCTGCACTCACCAGCTTCTGCCAGGGCGGCCGCCACCTCGTTCTGGGTGGAATAGATGTTACAGGCGGACCAGCGGCACTGCGCTCCCAGCGCACACAGCGTCTCGATCAGCACCTGCACGACAAGGGGGGGGAGCAGCAGGCCTGAGGGAGCAGCGATGGGCACAGCAGCCCAGGACCAGCCCCGGGACGCGAGGAACCCAGCCAACATCACCCTGCTCTCACCGCAGTCTGGGCTGTGATGTGGGTGCAGCCGACGATTTTAGCTCCAGCCAAAGGCTTCTCTCCTTGAGCTCGTTTCCTGAGGGAGATGAGAGCAGACATGTCTGCAAGAGGGAGAGAGGGGTTACTGCGGGCTTGGTCCACACCTGCTCTTCTTTCGGGGCTCTCGAAGCTACATCCACCCCGCAGCGTCGGCTCCAGCTGTTACAGAGCCAGGAGTAAAGCTCCTCATCGCTGGCCTGGCCAGGCTGCCCCGAACGGGACCAGACCACCAGGGTCATTTGTCACTTAACCAAGTAATGAGAGGGGTCTGGCACAGGCACTGCCAAGGACAGGCACCAGCCCTGCAGCAGGGCAGCATCAAGGGGAAGCACCTAAAGAAGATGAGAACAGTGCTGGCACACAGAATGCTTTGGGCTGAAGGGACCTTAAAGCTCCTCCAGCTCCAACCCCTGCCACAGGCAGAGACCCCTTCCATAGAGCAGCTTGCTCCAAGCCCCTGTGTCCAACCTGGCTGTGAACACTGCCAGGGATGGGGCAGCCACAGCTTCTCTGGGCACCCTGTGCCAGCGCCTCAGCACCCTCACAGGGAAGAGCTTCTGCCTAAGATCCCATCTCAGTCTCCCCTCAGGCAGGTTAAAGCCATTCCCCTTGGCCTGTCCCTACATCCCTTGTCCCAAGCCCCTCTCCAGCTTTCCTGCAGCCCCTTCAGGCACTGGAGCTGCTCTAAGGTCTCCCCTTCAGGAGCCTTCTCTTCTCAGAAGAGCAGCTCTGGTTGTGCCTGGATTATCTTCCCCTTCTATGGCTTTGGCAGCTTGTGTCTAAAAGCAGCCGAGAGCAAAGTTACCCAATCACCCACTGGAAATGGAAACTCAGCTTCCCACAAGCCCCAGGGGAAGGGGCCGGGACTTTTGGTTTTCATGTCTCAGAAGGTGTTGCAAGATCTTTGCCCCTCAAGGCTTCTATTCAAAGCCACCAGAACATTAAACCCAGCACGAGCTCTGCTGCTGTGAGGAAATGGATGCCACACATCGCTCACGGTGTCCCAGCCAGCTCTTCCCCACATAGCCACTGATGCTGGGGAGCGGGGAAAGGCAGGAGAGCTGAGGCTGTAGCATGAGGTGTGGAAATGGCCCTGGCTCAGCCCCTGCTCTCCAGAGAGCTCAGCACCCAAACCCACAGCCTCCATGCTCCGCTCATACCTTGCTCAGCGATCTCGATCTCCCGGCGCCCAAACTCTGCCTGTTTGATGTTCTTCACACAGAAGTTGCTGCTGCCTTTGGAGTTGGTTTGCTGCTTCTCTCGGGGGGACACCTCGTCATCAGAGCTGTCCGTGTAGGAGGCAGCTAAAGCCAGGAGAGGAATAGGGTTATCCCAGGTCTCAGGAGCTGGGGACCTCCTACCCCTCAGCTTCCTGCTGCTTCACTTCCCAGCTCTCACACTTGTGGTTCAAACCACACAGCTAAGGAAAGCAGATGTCCAGCAGGGATTTTGCACTCTGGCTCTCTAAAACAACCCAGAGGTAACAGGGTTATCCAAGAATCATTGAATGCTTTGGGTTGGAAGGGACCTTAAAGCTCATCCAATTCCAACCTTCCACTAGAGGAGATTGCTCCATCCTGGCCTTATAATCACCTGGTAATCCATGCCTGAGCTTCAGAAGCCCCCCGAATCATCCCCTCCACATCCCAGTACAACCCAACAGCATGGAGCATCCTGACACAGTGCGAGCAGCACCAACACTGGATTTGGGAGAGGACCAACACGGGGCAGGAGCCTGGCACCTACCAGAGCTATAGCTGTCAGTGGAAGACTGGGAGATGGAGCGGGACAGAGAGCGCCGGCCCGTCTTGGTTGGGAACTTGGTGAACTCCTGCATGTCATCTGCAAACTGGATTTGCTGAGAGGGGCAAAGGAAGAGAAGAGCTCAATCAGCAGATGCTCCTTGTGGCACATCCTCTTGCCATGCTACATGGACCTCTGGGTCCCTCTAATCCACCCTCCCCGCTGGAGCCATGGGAATGAGCATCCCCAATGCATCAAGGAGCAGATCCATGGCTCCAGATGCCACAGCTGAAGCCCCTTCCTCTGCCTGATCATCTGTCACCGACAGGTAAAGCGGATTCAACACCTGAAGATGAGGAGAGCACCCAGCAAAGCTTCCAGCACCCTTGGGAGCCCACATCTGCCTCCTGGGGCTCCTCCAAGGAAGTGAGACACAAACACGCTTCCAGCCCGGGCAGGCAGAGCCCCTGCTCCACCTGATCCTGATGGATTCCTGCCTGCAACTGAGCAGCAGGAAAGCTGGGGTGTTCCCAGCAGAACCTCCCAGCCCCGATGCTTCCAGGCTCTGGGCCGGGAGCATCCCACAGGTTAAAAACACGCCGGAGCCTTCCAAAATGGACACTAAAAGCAGGGAGGGGAAAAAAACTGGGCAAGAGAGAACATTCCAACAAGCTGCAGTTGACTTTGCGCTGGCTTTCAGGCTCCTCTGCATTACAGATGTGTTTCCATTGTAAGAGAAGCCCGAAACCAGCCCCCCCCCCCCACTTTCCTCCCTCAGCCAGAGGCAACTCAAGGCTCTAGGACCTACCACCAGCACATCGAATTCAAGTGCACTGAGCTGAAAGGAAGGGGGAAAACAGCCCCAGACTGCTCAGCTGCTGCCTCAAGCCCTGTGCGCAGCCAGCAAAGCGCCTCCGTGCAGCTCCTGCACGAGAAGGATGCTGGAGATGAAAGGGAACTGGGGAAAAGCAGCAGGGAATCCAGGCTGATGCCCCCCTCCCCGTCCCGCTGCTGTGCAGGAGACCCTGACAAAGGGCCCCCAACGCGGCCTCTTCCCTCTGATCACATCCCCGCAGGATTTAACTCCTCCACTTCCCAGGGGTGAGATGTCATTGCAGGGAGGGGGATTCACAAAGCACCCCCACGGAGCCGGGAGACCTCGGGAAATGAAGCGGATGGAAAGAGACAGCCCCGGTGGCCTCCAGGAGGGGTTTTCCCTGCCACAAGCATCCCAAAAGCTTTGATGTGGGAAGCGGCCTTCAAGGGGAGAAGAATGAAACTCTGCAGCTGAGATGAAGCAGGCCAGAAAGGAGGGATCCGCACAGGCTGGGGTGGCTGCAGCACTTGTGTGGCTGCGAATGGAGCCGTGGTTCCTGGACAAACCCAGCTGATGGGCTAAAAGCAGCATTGGTATCGCTCAGGGGGGGGAAACAGGGACATGAAAGCCACTGCTCAGCCCAAGGAGGACATTTGGGGTGATGTGGGGCGATGGCAGCGACTCCAGCATCCCCTCCAGGAACGACGAGCACCAGTTCAGATCCATCAGCTCAACCTGACATCCCAGGCATTTCTGTGGGTGATGCTGACGAAAGATTTTTACCCAGCTCCTTCACACTGGATACGTGACAGCAGGATATCTGCTCCCCACACCAGACTGCCAGCAGACATCCCTGCCATTCCGGTGCAAATCCATAGATTCCCAGACTGCTTTGGATTGAAGGAACCTTAAAGCTCCTCCAGCACCAACCCCTGCCACGGGCAGGGACCCCTTCCATAGAGCAGCTTGCTCCAAGCCCCTGTGTCCAACCTGGCCTTGAGCACTGCCAGGGATGGGGCAGCCACAGCTTCTCTGGGCACCCTGTGCCAGCGCCTCAGCACCCTCACAGGGAAGAGCTTCTAAGAGCTCATCTCAGTCTCCCCTCTGGCAGGTTAAAGCCATTCCCCTTGGCCTGGCCCTACAGGCCCTTGTCCCAAGCCCCTCTCCAGCTTTCCTGCAGTCCCTTTAGGCACTGGAGCTGCTCTCAGGTCTCCCCTTTCAGGAGCCTTCTCTTCTCCAGGCTGCCCCAGCCCAGCTCTCTCAGCCTGGCTCCAGAGCAGAGCTGCTCCAGCCCTCGCAGCATCTCCATGGCCTCCTCTGGCTCACTCCAAAAGCTCCACATCCCTCTGGTGCTGCTGCCCCAGAGCTGGATCAGGGCTGCAGGGGGGGGGTCTCCCCAAAGCGAAGCAGAGGAGCAGGATCCCCCCCCTGCTTTGCTGCTCACACTCTGGGGTGCAGCCCAGCATACGGGGGGGTTCTGGGCTAGGCTATGGGAGCTTGAATCCCACTAAAGCATTAACAGAAGCAATGGGAATGCTAAATGGAGTTTGCACATTTGCATTTGCAACTGGTACGGTGCAGGAGGAACCAGAGGGCACCAAGAGCCCAGAGGGGCAGAAGCAGCTCCAGGAGGCACCAGCAGCAGCATCCTCAGGGCGCTGGGTCAGAGGCAGCTCTGGGAAGGCAGAAACAAAGAGCAGTCATTTCAATACACAGGATTCCCATCCCTTTGCACCCACCTCTTCCTCTGGCAGCGCATCAAAGGAGAGGGTACCATAAACACGCCCCATAAAGCAGCTGCTGGCATTAAACCAGCTTCAAGTATCAGCTGAGGAGCTGGCTCCATCCCAGGGAAAGGTTTCCAGGGAAGAGGTGAATCCAACAGCTAACCCAGGTTTCACTGCTCCACCCAGGGGGGTCTGTCCTGGCTTACAGCATCTATCTGGATGGCCTCATGGAGCAAAGCTGGTCTGGGACGTGATGGGAAGGAGAGGCTGGGAATGGAGAGCTGCTGCATCCACACCATCAAGACAACCAAGACAGAGCAGACACCATCATCCCCTCCAGGGAGTGTCCACGAGCCAGTTCCAGAGCTCTGCTTTTTAGGAGAAACAGCAGTTCCAGAAATGGGGGATTCAAATCCGAGGAGGGGGGGAGATAAAAATCACTGCTAAAGAACCCAAGTGCTGAATTACCCACAGTAATCCCCCGCATGGCTTTAGCAGAGCTCAGCTGAACTCCAGAGCTTAGCGCAATCTGCCCTGTCTAAAATTATCATCACCCACTGCAGGCAGCTTCCAAATCCAAGGAATTCTTCACGCACCAAACCCCCTGCAAGCCTGGGAAATGAGCAGAGCATCCGGCAAGCACAAGAGAGGAAGAGCAGGGAGGATGTGGGTGCGAAGTAACCCAACGTGGGTGACCCATGGGCCGCGTTCCCATCCACGTGCTGGGCTCCGGAGCTGCATTAAGGTAAGGGAGAAAATCCCCTGGGATTAGGGGGATTTCAGCGTGTCATAGGAATCAAGGAACGGGATCCCCAGCTGCGGACGAGGCGGCTGCAGTAAGGGATAACTGGGACTGGGACCGAACACATCCCAGCCTTTTTCCTGCTGGAAGCAGCTTTTCCAACCGGGTGGAGCACGAGGGTTTGAGAGCAAGGAAAATATTTTCCCAGCGCAGCAAGCCCTGAGCAAGGAGGTGAAGGAAGGCAGCACCCACTCCTCTGCAGAGCAACAGGAATGGGCTGCCCGCCAGCACCAGCATCCCCTTCCAGGCAGAGACGGGACCAGGGTCCTGGGTCAGGCCCGTGTCAAGCAAGCAGCTCCTCGTGTGGTACAGAATGGGTTTTCTGGGAGATATCCTGCAGGAAAACACCCGGATCCGACATCTCCTGGCAAGTTCTCACACAGCAACGCTGCTCCCTGCCCACTCCTCACCACACCTGCCAAGCCTGAAGTACATTTTCTCCCCTTGCGAAACCCGGTGTGTCCATACCCATTCCCATGCGGATACAACATTTCCCAACAGTGGGGCTCAAAGCACCCCTCCCAGTGCAGGGTCTGGGTGGGCAGGATGGGAGCGAGCATCATCCTTCCTGATACAGCCCCATATCTCATGGAAGGGGTCAACTGAGGACACTCAGACCTGCATTATCCATCTTGCTTGGCTGCACTGCCTGGTGCATCCCAAAACCACCTTAAAGCTGAGCAGCCACCCTCAGAGAGCTCCCCCCTATTCCATAGGGTACCTATAAACCCTTTCTGATGATTATTTGCCCTTCAGGTGAACAGGAGGATGGCACAGCCACAACAATGTGAAAGAAGCCCGCTTCAAGCCTGGAATAGGCTGGGAATGGGGTCCCAAAGCAGGCTCTGCACATCACCCAAGGCTGCTGGGGCAGCCCTCGTGTATCCCATCACCTCACCCTTTCCATGCCATTCCTCAGCCAGATTTAGAGCCCAAACCGGCTGCAGCTGAGGAGGGGTTGGAGGCTGAGGTCCACAGACCTGGAGCCAAGCACCTTCAGACACAGAGGGTTCATCACCTGCAGGACTGGGCCTCCCAGGGAGCTCGGGCTGCTTTCTCACAGGGTGCTGGGTGCTGCACCCTGAGCTTGGCTGCTCCTAAAGGCCAGGGTGGTTGAATCCCCTTCTTTGCAGCCAGTGCAGCAGCGAGGGAGGGAAGAGGCAGCGCGGGGCCCCCACGGAGGTAACCAACAGGAGCCTTTCCTCCTGTTCCAGGTCAACGAGAAGCTTTGCTTGTGCCGCCTCCTCAGTGCTTCCACAAGCGCCCAGGTCCTGGAGGGCTTCCTGAGCTCCCCACAGCCTCCTGCCACATTGAACCCCTCGGGATGAGGGCTGAAGCCATCCCAGTCCTGCTCACCGCAGGTTCCCACTGCCTGGCCCCGGCGCTGGCACCAGTCCCAACGTGACCAGGCACTGGGTTTGTTCAGAGGACTCGGTGTCCTCAGACCCCCCCTGTCCTGCTGCCAGGCTGGGAAAGCCAAGCCGCATTCCCACAGGACAGTGTCTAGACACAGGGCAGGGATCCCACCGCAGCCCCCAGCCCTCCAGGGGACACGGCTCCTGCTCCATGATCCAACAGGACACAGGGATTTCGGAGTGGCATTTTCAGGTTCCTCTCCCTGTGAGGTTACCCAGGCCTGGAGGGGTATTTCTGGACCACAGCATTCCATAAGGACTGAAGGAACAGTAAAATCAGGTACTTGGAACACCAGGATTCCCAAGGCTTCCACCCAGAGCAGTCATCATCCGTACCCCTGAACTGAACCACCA